ATAAATATATATATATATATAATAAAAATTTCATTCCAAGTTAAAGAAAAATATTTGATTTACTTTGACACTGTTTATGTGTTAGTAATAGATGAGATTTTTGAATAATTCAAAATTTCGAAAAAATATTTTGAAGTATAAAACTAATTGATCTACTGTACTTATTTATAATTTCTAATGTTATGAAATGACTATTGAAGAAAAGAATGAAATAGTTTTAAAAGATATGTCGTAAGATGTTTTCGCTTGTGTTATTAATTTTCAACCGAAAATAATTTTTAGAAATCATAAATTTCAAGATTATGAAATATTCTTCAAAACAAATATCATGAAACGATGACTATGCATGCTATAGTGATGTTAATCTTATATTCATTTCGAGATTTTTGATCGAAGAAGGTCTATTTAAAAAAAAGCAAATAACTTTTATAAAACATTACGAAGTCTTTCTCGGACGATAGAATTGCATTCGAGAATTTCAACAAACTTTCTATTGGTTTGAATACCTGGACTCCAAAAACGTATTAGGTTTTTTCCATAGAATAAAATTTTTAAGATGAATCTTATAGTAAATGAAAGTTTATTTGAGAAAATAAGAAACAATATAAATCTTTTGTTTTTTTGTTTTCCTAGGATTTTGTATACTTAATTTCAACAGGTGATATATATGATTTATTATGTTTTATAATATTTATATCAGAAATATTTTATATAAATATATTTTAAAAACAAAATCATTTCTTAGTTGTGAAAAAGATGAAATAATATCATATGTTGTACATTATTCATAATACTATTATCAATATTTGAATATCTTTATCAACAACATGATTTAACTCTATCAAATAAATAAATCAATTATTACTTTTATTATTTAATGATCTTGATCATCTTTATTATTTAACAAGAAAAATTAAATATATATATCATCTATTTATTGACATGATATACGTTGTATAGTTATATTTATATTAAGACAATTTTGGAGTTGGTTGATTATCAAAAATATAATGGCAAGAAATAAAAGTTTCAATTTTAGTGTTCAATTAATCCACCACAAATCAATATAATGATGAAAATGAACAAACAACAAATAATTTAATAAAAAATTCTAAAATAAATTAGATTGTATCTGTTCTTTTTTTTTTAATCAGTGATCAATATATGCAAACGCGTTCAATATTAGATAAAAGTTTAAATAATTTTTTTTTTAAATATTGAACGATTAGGTACACGCGATTTATTATGCTATGCACAACTTTCATATGATACTATATTAATATCAATTCAAAGTAATACGAAATTACCATTAACAGTTAATGGAAGTTCATATATGTTTTAAGAATTGACAAGTAGAACTTGTTTTTCTATTAATATTAAATATTCAACATAAATGTAGAAAAAAAAAGTTATCGAAAGAATTTTAAACTTTATTATACAGAAGTTTAAGTTAAGAGAAAAGCAAATTTATTGGTAAAGTATTAATTTCATCAAACAAAAAATCTAATATTTATCAATAATTTCACATATATGCTGATTACTTGTATTCTATTAATAAAGTCTAAAATATGAGAAATATTTTCTATCAATCAGAAAACTTGAATATAAACATTTCCTTCGCTGGCATTCACCTTTAAAAATATATAATTTAGAGTTTATTTTCTTCTCATAGTCTTGATTTAACATCTTCATTACAAATTCTAATTGAACTATATATTCATTAGTTAACAACAAAATTCAAATAATTTTTGTATTCAATTACAGTATGAATTAATAGATTCATTTATATATCTTGCGGATTTATTTTCATCAATTATATTTATATAATTTATTTGATGAATTAATAATATTATTAATAAGTTATAATTTATGTAAATCTGGTATATTACTTCAATAAACAACAAAATGACAATATAATCAATTATATATACGTTTAATTGAATACAATTATAAATTAACTAATATTCATGCATATGCATCATGTTTATTTTTACTTGAAAGTCATCAGGTTTACTTAAATAAATTATATAATAGAAGAATTAAATAATAATATATAAAATGATAATTTAACACAAAAAATTATATCAACTAGTCTTGAAAGACTTTTAATAATTGGTCAATATCCTAAAAATGATGTATGGCGTTTATATGAAATACGTGCACGTATTTATACATTATTACAACGACCAAATGAAAATACAAATTCATTAAAAAATGAACATGTTAATGAAGAACAAAGAATGATTCATAGTTCATCAATAATATCATCATCAGATAATATTCTTGTTGAACTTGTTGCAGAATAATATGCACGTACTAAACAATCATCAACATTACCATGATTACTTGCATATCTTGGTTTATCGGATCGTTTAATGAATAAAATAGTTTTAGAATTTGCTGCATCAACACAACAATTATATCCTCAAATACTTTCATATACAGTTTTTGCTGTTTTTTTTGTACTTTAATTAATGTACGTTATTCAACTAAAGTTAATAATTAGACTTTATTATCAATGAAAAGTATTGCACAAGGAAAATCAATATGTATGACTACATGAGGGTTAACTTGTTTTAGGTTAAGTGTATGTTCATCATATAGAATTGCTGATGCATTGTAAGTATTTACTTAAATCATTTATTCTTAATCTTTAAAGAAAAAAAAATTGTATTGAAATTTCATAGTGATGATTTAATAGTGAATTAATATTGCAGGAGTTTTTCTGAATTGTTTCTTATGAGTAAAATCGAGTGAAGTTGTATTTGGGTTGTTGGATGAGCTTTTTTTAAATCTATGGTTAAATATTCTTTTTAGTTCTTTTTTTCAAATTATCAAAATCTACACGTAAGATTAAAATTTATTTGGAAAAAATAAGTAGTAGAACATTAATGAAAAAAAAACTCTTTGTTATAATTGCGAAGGAATAACGATCAAAGCAAAATCAATAAATTTCATCATGAAATATTAAAATGAATTCTCATAGATAATATAGTATATCTTTTACTTCTTTAGGCTTTCACTGATGTATGTTTCAGTGCTCATATTGTTGGTCGAGAATATTATCTGCAGGTATTATAAAAGAAAATCTCCAAATATTAATTGTATCAAAATAAAATCTATTTTGAAATAAAATAAAAAATAATACAATAAGAACAGCTAAATATTATTCCACGTGATATTTCGGCATCTATTCTCAGACGCCATCATCAGACAGGTAGCTGAATTATTGTTAATGTGTATAGGTATTATATCTCACGACATACTATAGTGTTGGTTTTATTTTCGAACGAATGTTTTAATGATGAGCCAAGAGTTGGATTATATGGTGTCTATATTTTGTGTGTTTATATGTTTAGGATTATCTGAATTGGATTATATGGTATGGTCTCTTTTTTTGTATTGTATATGTCACTCAGTTTAGAGAAGGTGAGTAAGCAGTCAGTGTTGAAATTCCAGTTTTGTGTTTAAAGAAATAGGAATGTTTATGTTGACGCGAACATACGCAGATATGATGGAGAAGGCAGGGTACCGATAGGCATATGTAGTGTTTATATTGTATCAATGACTCATACTTTTTTCTGGTTATTGTGTAGAGAGATATAGATCGAAGTATGTGTTGTTTTTCAATTACTCATGATTCGTTATAGGGATAGCCGTATCAGAAGCGATTCGTTGTGTGTTGTTTTGTTTGTTGTTTCGTTCTATTCCATCGGCGTATATGTAGAGTGGTGTTGATCTGATTCCCTTATTCAGGTCTGGTTTTTTTTGTTTAATTAATAGAGATTCTTTGATCGAAAGTTTATATTTGTATCTCTCTTGTAGTCGAATAACGAAGTCATTATTTGAAAATGTATGGCCTGTCGTGTAGTAATGTTTAGCTATGGCCGTTTTCGGTATAGATTGTTTTGTTCGTTTTTCTAGTATTTCAGGATTTTTCACGAATTTGCCGATGTCTTCCTGAATGGATGCAATTCTTGTGGTTGGTAATTTCCCTGTTTGTGACCTCGTAATTGGTCCTTTACGTTCGACAGGTGTTTTTATGGTGGATCTGGTTTGTTTGACGGTATGTTTCGATTTCTGAATTTTTTTTAAACATAATTCTTGCTTTTGATAATTGAGATGTTCGTGTACTCGGGTTTTAAAATGGCGAAAAGTTTTTCCGATGTAATGAACTTCACATTCTGGACAAGTGGCTTCGTAAACAACTCCTGCTTGCATCGGTGCGGGTATCTGATCTTTCAAAATAAAACCACTTCCTACACGTTCTTGCATGTCATATATAAGTCTAATGTGTTTTAGTGGGTAGTTCTTATTAGTAGCGGAGATAATCCGTTTCGCATACACTTGACTTAGTGGTCCGAAATAAGGTACGCGAAGAACAACGGTGTCAGTAGTGGGTGATGCTGCTGATTTAGAAGTTGCAGGAGTGTACACAAGGTTAAGTTGACGTCTGATGATGAAATCTATGACGGAATTAGGATATCCGTTTCTAAGTGCTAATGATCGAATAAATTCGAATTCCTGATGTAGAGCGGCATATGACGAGCAGATCTTTATAGCTCTGTATACCTTAGTTGATAATGCGTTATACCTATAATTTTTCGGCACAAAACTATCCCATTTAGTAGTAAGACTGTTGAATGTAGGTTCTCGATAGACTCGGGTTTCGAAGCCTGCACCTGGTTGGCGTCGTACCAGGACATCGAGAAATGGTAGTACTTGTGGCTTGAGATCTCCTTTTTTTCTTTTTGATCGTCTTTTTTTCAGCGTCTTTTTTACTCTTGCTGTCTTTGTCTTCTTTCTCTTCGCCATCTTTTTTTTTCCTTTTTCTTTTTGTTCTTGTTCTTTCTCTTTCTTTTTTTTTTCTTTTCATCTTCATCTTTTTTTTCTTTTTCGACAATAAATTTAATCGACGGATGGTACTGTGATAGAGTATGACACACATCGTTAACAGAAAATTTCGGGTCGAATAAAACAAAAGTATCGTCCACGTAACGCTACCAGTAAACGATACCCATATTTTCAGTAGACGATAAGTATTTTTTCTCGAAGTTCTGTAGAAAAATTTCAGCGAACAGCGGAGCTAAGGGAGACCCCATTGAAACTCCATCGATCTGATCACATAATTGTCCATTAAAGAGAAAATGAGACTTTTCTGTTGCTAAATCAAGTAGCTCCTTCATATCTTCTCGACTAATCGTAGGAGGTTTAGCATGACCATCATATAATTGTTTGAGAATTATATCTATTGTTTCAGTAAGTGGTACATTTGTATAGAGACTCGCAATATCAAAAGATACCATTTTGTACTGAGACATACACTTTGGTAGTGCGAGTAATTCATCAACAAAAGAAAACGAATCACGAATCATATTTGTTTTCTCGATAAATTGTGATAATAACCGTGACAGAGCTTTCCCAAGATCATAGTTGAATATTTTAATAGCTGACACAACCGGTGGAAGTGGAACATCTTCCTTATGTACTTTCGGCAATCCGTAAAGACGACTAGGAATAGAACCAAATGGCTTCGCCAAAATATAGAAATCTTTCGAAATACTACCTTCATCAAGTAATCGGTTCAACAATTTAATTAATTTAGTTTCTCGAGTAATTGTAAGATCATATGATAAAAATGAAAATTTAGTTGTATCATTGAGTATACTATGTATTTTTGATAAATAGTCGACTTTATCTAATAACACAACACCTCTGCCATTATCTGGACGAGTAACCAAAATCGATTTATCATTCTTCAAGTTCCGTAATAAACGACGATATTTCTGCTGCTCAGTATTAATTCTCTTCTGTAACTGAGCAAAACGATAAGCTTGACGACGAAATGAATCAGTTATAGAACGAAAATTGCTTGCCAAAGTCATTTCTTTTGAATCAAGAACACGAACATCAGAACTGTCAACTGTATCTTTTTCACTGACCTCTGACATCATCTTTTTATGATGCTGAGAAATATCAGTTATTCGCTGAAAACCATTTTTAATAATACTAACAATATTCATATCCTGAATATTTTTAGGAACAAGGCCATAATCCAATCCATGGGCAAGACATTTAGTTCCATCATATGACAATGCACGAGATGATAAATTTTTTACAACATTTAGATCAACACGTGGTACTCTTCTACGACCTGCGCGAAATGAATCAATCTTTCTTTGTAAGTTACCTTCTTTCACATATAATACTGCACGTGAACGATTAATAATATAGTTGGAAACGTGCTGAAACACGTTGTCAGGGATATGTTTCTTTAATTCATCCAGATGATAAATGTAATTTTTTTTCAAAATACGTAGATCACGGTACTTAAAACCAATTTCACCTCGTAAAAGACGTCTTTGACATTCTCTGTACGCAGGAGACATCGCGAGTCTTTCATTTGCAGTTTTAAACCATAAAAACCTAGGAATAATGCCGTTCGATCGGCAATATTTCAGAAACATTAAATCGAGTACTAAAGACTGATAGCGTTCATGAGCATTTTTTTGTAGAATGGTATAACATCACTGTATTCCGACCGTAATGGTAATTCAGGTAACCACCAATACTCATATTGTCAGCTAATGTCATTATCACCAACAACAATAAAACCAAAAAAGTTATTAACAGTTTCACTTACTCGAATCTTGCAATCTCGGCACTACTCAGTTATGAAGAAAATCAGTGAGATGAATCAGAACTACCATAAAGTATTTATAATAAATACCATGAAAACTGATAAGTAAGAAAAAGACCACATGGAATGTTCTTTTCTAACGCACATTAAACGGTGAAAAATACCATCAGAAAAGAAACGTCGATTACTAAAACAATGGCAACACGCAACAGAAATATCCATCAGTGTAAAAATCAGGTTGCCATAACATAACTTATAAAGATCTCAATTCGGCACCTCATCCATTCCAATCAACATTCAACCCTAATACTTCCACAAACCAAAACAATGTTCTCGCTACTACAAGATACTCTGCTTTCCTCCGTTGATTTGAAAGCATAGAATCACTTCTATTAACATGCATTCCATATTACCTTTGCCTAAAAACACTTACTCTAATGTTACTTCTAGGCCATCATTTTCCACCAAAAAACATCAGCTCAATCAAACATTATATTTCACAAATGAACAAAAATACACAACCACAGTTCGCCCAACGACCCACCACACCTGACAGGAACACAACCACGAATCTACTCATCGCAATATTCTATCATCATTCACCAGACCATTCAGCAACGCCAAAACACTAAGTGCAACGCAAACCCACACACATTCTACGCGAAAATTATTTTCTGTCCAAAAATTTCCATGAAATGAAAATATACTAACACCAACTTCTCAAACTGCTACTGCATTACCTCTCCTTAAATGAAACACATTCAACTCAATCTGACATAAATGGAATTGTTTCTTTTCGGTTACGTTTGCTGATGGTGTCTGAGAATAGATACCGAAATACCACGTGGTGTATTAAAAAATAACATTAGCTGTTTTCATCCTTATATTTTTTATTTCATTTATATGTATTTGTCCATTTATTTTAGTATTTGTTATTATATTCACACAGCAATATAATGGACCTGTTTCTCTCTTTTTAAGTTGATTCACAATAATGTAATTCACTTAATAATTGTTTTAATGTGTGTATACATTTTATTAATATAATATATAATATTTTACTAAATCTCATATAAATGGAATTGTTTCTTTTCGGTTACATTTGATGATGGTGTCTGAGAATAGATACCGAAATATCACGTAGTGTATTGAAAAATAACATTAGCTGTTTTCATCTTTATATTTTTTATTTCGTTTGTTTGTTTTTATTTAGTTTTATTTGTGGAATAAAGATATACAAAAAATAAATAAATATATATAAGGAACAGTAAAAATATGCAATAAAATAAAAATCGATTTCCGATCCAAAAAACAACAAACCATCTTTTTAAAATATCATGATTACTTTCGGCCTACTGTGATGCATATTTTTTTGTGTATCAGCATTGTATAGATGTACAAAAGACGAATAAGAGAACAAGCAAAATAAAGGTATAATGTCCAAGGACAAATAAACAGCGTATGTTTTCAAAAATATCATGATTGTTTTGGGCCTATTGGGATGCATGTTTTTGTTGTCTGCTGGTGTTGTATAGCTGTGGAAAAGACGAATAAGAGAACAAGCAAAATAAAGGTAAAATGTCCAAGGAGAAATAAACAGCGTATATGTTTTTAAAATATCACGATTGTTTTGGTCCTACTGTGATGCATATTTTTTTTGTCTGCTGGTGTTGTATAGCTGT